GGTTGTTAGTTAGATGGATCATGATTGGTTAATATTAAATACTTTACATTGGTAAAATATCTAAATTATCCAATCATAAAATGTAGTTTAGATCAGGTTCCAAAAGGGAGGGTGGAATAACGTTTTCACTTTTGCTTATAAAACTACCTGATAACAATTTAGCACTCCGAGCAACTTTTTCAAGTTTATGAAGTTCAATGGTTTTCAAGATAACGGTAAAGTAATTAGAGCTTCTTCACGCCTCTGTGCCAATTTTTATTGAAAACTGCAAATTTTGAGATACTCAATTTGCAAAACACGGCTACAACCTGCAAAACACAACTCTAATTCGAATTAAGCTTTGAAGACATTTCCAGACCATATTTGATTATCAAAAAATAGGATGCGTAAAACCGTGATTGATTTCAATCCTTAGGAAAAGAGAATTTTAAGAGGGAAATTTTATGAAGATAAAAACAATTGTTCACGGTTGTGCCAGATTCACAGGAATATTCCACTCTTCGAAGTAAATCGCGGATCTTAATTGCCCAAATTAAAAACTTGAGGCTCTTAAACATTGAGCTTACAACAAAACAATGTCTGAACAACAACTTCCAAGCAACTGTCAGAATCTAAAATTCTTTTTTTTTTTCATTTTGAAGACATAGTTGTTCAATGTTATTACATCAAAGAACACTTTTCCCGTAACTTAACATAGAAATAAACTTAACAAAGACAAGACCGTGTAATAGCTGGTTGATACCAACGGCAGAAGTTGAGAAAAAAACTTGATAGATTCTATGAAACGAACAGCATAATCAATGGTCGATGAATTTTATTATGTCTTACAAATGTAAAAAAAAAACGCGGCGAAACTTACTTTTTTGTCATTCAGGAAGAAATGCTGCTAAAACTTTTGATAACTCGTTGATAACTCATGTGATTATTTCAATTTTTTGGCCAAGTGACTTGCACTTGAAATATTCTCATAAGTAACAGCAAAAATCAAAAATCTAAACGCTTCAACTCAATTTTTTTTTCGATGGTGAAAGGACTGTTTATTGATGTTTGAATATAAAAACAATGGAGAAAACTTGGCAATTCTTTGCTTCTAAAAATAATGACAGAGGCGGTAAGGTAAGATAATGTGACAAGTGATTGAAACTTGCCAATTTGTCTACTTAATAAACAGACTAGTTTTTTTGAGCTCAAAGCCTTTTAAAACTGAACAAAAATAAGCTGGATAACCTCAATGACTTCATGATTGACGCAAATCATATCACGTACTATATGATGTTGCATATGGCGAGTGGGAAAATTTATGAAGACGAATTTGATTTTAGACGCAAATTCTAGACAGTTTTTGCAAGGTTTTGTACAAAAATTGAGTTTTGGCGCGTAGTACATCCTGAAAATGACTAGTCGAATTGACGTAACAGAGCAAATCAGTTCTACTTCAGCATTAACATTGCAGAGTTTAGAAATGCAGAGCTCTATTATAGATCAGACTTGAACAATCTGTGTTCCTTAAAGTTCAAACTTACTCAAGTTTTTCAGAATTGTATCATTGATGAGCAGAAGTTATATCATCAAATTTTCAGAGGAAGCCCGGGTTGGCCATCCTACAAAAAATCCTCTTTTCTCAGAGCTTCTTAAAACATTTGTAGAAAATTTCCGCTATCTTACAACTTTCTTATAAAACAAAGTTCTTAAATAACAATTTCTTCCCAAAACTAAAAAAAATACTAGAAACATTTTATATGAAGAATAAATTTAAATTTTTAAACAATTTTCGTTTTTTTATCAATTTAGTGCATGTAAAAATTTTTAGATAGTGGTTATAATGTATGCATTTTGAACAAAAAAAAATCCAAAAAAAAGTTTGATTTTTTTTTTCGTTGAATCTCCTAGTTATACGTAATTAGCGGTTGAAAACTATTTTCGAGACAATAAAAACCAATTTTGACCAATCATGTCATCAGATGTGTTTAATGTGGGGTTCAAGAAAATATCCACAAAATTTCAGCTATCCGCAAATCAACTTACTGTATAAAGTTAGTGGCTATTTTCAGTAAACTCGATGCATGGCGAAACAAGCCGTTTGGACTACCAGTTTCTGACATTGTACTCTGCGACAGTGCAGAGCTTTTAAACTAGTTATGAAAATTTTTTGGTAACAAACATGCAAAAAAAGTTGAAATAAATTTTTAAGATTATTTCCTATTTTACATACAATTTTCTTGTCAGAAAAGTCACAATCTTACTGCCCTATAAAAAAACCATTTTGCATCCGAACTAAAAAGTCAGGGAGAAAAACTTGGACTTACTGCCAGGAACTTAAAGGGTCCAGGGCAATCTGCTAGGTACCCTTCTAGGAAATCAGAAGTTCTTACGAATATTTTCGTTAATTTTTTTGTCGTTAATTTTCATTAATTTTTGCTTTTAAATATTTGCGAGTTTGAAAACTCAACTAACAAAACAAGACACCGAAAAAACAGGCCTGGATTCTTAGACTGCTCCAGAAAGTCCAGGGCAATCTCGGCAAGATTTTCACTTGGATTTTCCCCTGTCCAAGCCTGGCTCCAGGAATGGACTCCCATAGACAGGTAACCCGAGAATTATTTTTAGAGCCTTAGTTGTAAGTTTTTTTTTCAGAAACATTTTAACATAGCAAATTTTGTTCAACTCGGGAAATCAAACTTTCAGTAATTCAGCTTTTTACAGTCAAAAAATAGCTTTTAATTTTTTAAACGTTTTTCTGAAATCTGCAAAAATCTCTGAGATCTTCTCCACGCGCTGTTCTGCAGACTTAAACGAGGTGGCGTAGAGAAAACCTAAACATGGCTTGTTGATTTTGTTAGTTAGAACCAGCTTTTGTTGAGGATACACTTGAGCAATAGTTCAGTACTGAATTAGTTCTGCTATTGATATCTTTAGTTTTATTTCTGATCAGAGCTAGATTGATACTTGTAAAGTGCAATTACGGACTTTGAGTTTATCTGAAACTTAATTGATTCGTTTATAACTTAATCATAATTGATTTGTACTGATTTACACAGCCAGGCTTATTCAGGTATGAACGTGTTACAAAAAACTTTTTCAACAATTTATAGTTTGAGATGCCCAAAATCTGATAAAGAAAATAGGGCTGGTCAAAATTTCGCAAGCTTTTAAGGTTTCTTTTTTAGTTTCGTAAAGTAAAATCTTAAATTAAGAAAAAACGAAATATGAAATGCTGTATGGTTGCTTATACCGGCTTTATATATTCCATTTTTCCCAAGATCAACCACTTTAATAGTATTTCTAGCCTAATACTCTTAAACTTTTTTGTTTTGTTGTACGTATTAAAATTAATTAAAAAAGAGTTTAGGGATAAAGTGGTGTTTCAATTTACAGATTATGTTTTAAAATCCAAGAAGTCAAAGCTTAGCTGGTGAAAATCAGAACCTAATAAAATCCTTGAAAGTTTGGTCGTTGAACTGTTTTTAGGATAAGATTGGGCATTTATATAAGGATAAACAGCAAATGCTGAAATTAGAATGTCAAAATTTGATTTTTTTTTGTTTTAGTTTTGTAAGCAAAATCGTTTATAAAGATATATCGGGATTTGGCGCTTGCTTTAAGAAATATAATATCAAAATTTTTTTGAGTTGTTATCGACTTAAAGGAATAGTAGATTGTATCAGAATTATTCAAAATTGTATCATCGATGAGCAGGGGTTATATCATCAATTTTTCATCGTAAAATCAAACCTTCAGAAATTCACCTTTTTATTGTCAAAAAATAGCTTTTGTTTGTTCTATACGCTTCTCTGAAGTCTGCAAAAAATCTGTGAGATCTTCGCTACAATTTTTTTTCAGACTTAGCCGAGGTAGAGAAGAGGAATGGTATGAGTGGCTGATCAACCGCACAATAAAGTGAAGTTACAGGTCTTAGGTTTACCTGAAACAAAACTGATTAGCTTATAATTGAAATAAAAATGATTTGTACCGATTTGCACAGCCAGGCCAATCCGGGTATAAACTCTTGACAAATGCTCTTTCAACGATTTATAGATTGGGTTGGCAAAAAAAATTGATAAAAATAGGATAAATCATATAAATCACCGTTGCTCCTAAATCCGCTCCCTTGACTTGATACCGGAGACTTTGTTGTTCTGACTTTCATAGCATTGTGCTCGGGAGATTTTTTTTCTCCTGACAAATTTTGGCTTTAAAAAAGCCATGTTGGACGGTTTTTTATACATCAACTGAAATCTATTGATGTCCTGAGCTCAAACTTTTAAAAAAATTATTCCACCTGTAATAATTTTTTTTCCAAAATTATGAGAGTTTGAAAATTGCCAATGTCTAAGTTGGGATAATTAGCCGCGCATAACAAAGCTTGAGTGGCAGTTTAGCCCAGCTCGAAAATTGATTGATAGCGGGTAGAGGTATGCTATTTGCTTTAATCATTACTTTACTTCATGCTAAATTGGAATCAATTTTTTCTTGAAATAGCGTTTGGGATGTTTTTTTCAATATGTAAATTGTTTTTAAGTTCTTTTTAAAATTGAAATTTTTTCATTTTTTTCTTTTGTTTTAAAATGTCTGAAATTTTGGGATAGATTGTGTTCGGTGATCTACTTGTAGGTTGGGATAGGGCTTTTATATGAGGATAAATGGCAATTCCTAATTATATTTCAACAGTATGTAAAAATTTTATATAATTTTTCTTGTTTCGTACTCAAAAATCCTTGATAAGGAAAGCCAAGATTGAACTGCTATTTGATTGCTTATGTGGGCTTCATAAATTCCCAAGATGAACCGCTCTAATACTTATTTTAGCCTAATACTCCTAAAAGTTTGTTTTGTAGTGCTTAACAAAAAACGAAATTAGTGATAAGGTGTTGTTTCATTTCGTAAATTGTTTGGGGAGAGTTTTTCAAATCCAAGAAGGCAAAGTTTAGCTATTGCTTTTCTGGTTAAAATTCCAGAAATCTATTTTAAAAATATTAAGAAATATAAGGAATAATACTTACTTGAATTTATCTTTCGGATTCAAAAAATAAAAGATAGCAATTAATTAATAATCAATCGGTCATATCAAACACGGAGTCAATACTTTGATACAAAGCGTGTTCTTGCTGCACTTTGGAAGAATGTTATGCTTTGAGTGGTGTTTGATGATCAATAAAAATGGAGAAAAAAGTGATGATGAATTGTTTTATTTTGTGACAGCCGGTTTTACAGTTTGACTAATTAAAGATTACCGAATCATTGGATCAAACACAGTGGATTGACGTAAATTTAATAAAATCTAAGCTTTGATTAAGTGCGATTTCTAAAACTGGACAAAAAATTATCCGATCAGAAACCGATTGGAGAAAGAAAATTTCAAACTAATTCCAAATTGAAATTTTCAAGTTTAGCTGCCCGTTAAACCTTACCAAGTAGGGGACTGGGAACGGGACAGTTGGAAAAAAGAGAAAAGAGAACCTCTGTTATAAATAAGGGATGTTTTGTGTTTGTAATTTTATGTAATTTAAGCGTCGTCTTGGTGGGGATAGCTGAAGGAGGGATATATAGGATTACATCCCAATCTTCGGCCCTGAATACATCTAAAAAGCATACCAACTAGCCGACACTGCTCACTAGGCCTACAATTTTAGCATGACTTAAATTTAAAAAGAGCACCTTTAATTTGATGGGTTATTGGTTTCGCCACTAACTGATGCCGCTTGTTTTTCTGTTGTTTGAACTGGGTTGGAAAAAAAGTAGCGAGCGCGGGAAAGGAAGATCAAAATAAGTAATTCGAATGGAAAACCAATCCCCTTTGTAATTCTTCCCGGGCTATTTAGACGGGGAAGAAACATTTATTAGTATAAATAATGGCTTTATTGGGATTAGCCGTGGTAATAGATTAGATGGAAGGGAAAAAAAGAACAAAAATGAACGGCCATAAAAAGACAAATGCTGAAAAAAAGAAAACAAGAAATATAAGTTTAATTTCTTGGATCAAGTTATTTGCAATGTTTGTTAAGCTAAACAGCATCCCATATTTTGCATTTTGCATAGTGCTTCCGATATCATTTTAAATTTTTTTTTAATATATTTTTTCAAAGTTATTAAATTTTAGTCATGTTTTTGATATGAATTTTGTTTGTTTAATTTGGCACAAAAGCTTTTAATTCCACGTGCGCGTCCTTTGAAGCAGTTTTAGAGCCAATAAAAAAGGTTTGATTCTGATCAGGCGACAAAACGAACTGGTATTCAAAACAAACATCCAAGTTGCAGCAAATCGGCTTGGATTTTCAAAGGTGGACAAAAATTCCCGCAGATTTTTTGACTGGATGGTGGCTTTTTTTGATCACGTGTTAATGATGCTTTGATCAATCATGACTTCTAACAAAATGCGAAACATGTTGTGATCAAACAAGTGAGTATATATATTTCTCAAAATAGACCAATTGTGTCATTACAGTTGAATGGCGAGTGATGGAGAAAATGGCCAACTGGTGGTGGTTTATTGAATGGAATTAATGACCTGGTTTTCAGATAGCATAGTATTATAATATAGCATGGCTTTGTATGTTGAAAAGTGAGCTGCACTTCTAGAATATTTCAAACTTTTTTAATTAAAAAAAAAATCTCGCAAAACATCCATTTTTGGCTGGCCGAGATGTTTTTGTCAAAATAGAGTTTTCAAGATAGTTTGAAGCATCTCGAGAAATCTAAATGATCGACCCAGGGGCTGATCTGGGGTTTTATCGTCGTGGGGGGGGGGGCTGATTTTCGAAAAAAATAAAAGTTTCGAAAAATTTGTCGACCTTTTTTTAGGCGACCTATTTTTAGGTCGACCAAATTGATTTTCCAAGTTGTCCCAAAGCACTTCAAGACCCTGTTTTGGCAAAACTTTGTGCGCCGCAGGCAAAATTTTGAACAAACAGACCAGAAAATTGTTTTTAGTTGTAGGCACTTTTTGGAAAAAACTTTGACCGAAAAACCGCGTTTTTTCGGCGCACGCTCCCCCCTCATAATTGGCATATTTTAGGGTCAATAAATGGATATCTCAAAATAGTACAAAGAGGGGCCTAAATCCGCTGGTGGATCGACCTAATAAATTCGACAAATTATTTGAAAATCGCTGTTCGAAAACTTTTTCATCTTAGGTTTTAATTTTTTTTGGTTCGCACTGGTTGCGGTTAAGTATTTCGAGATTCCACTGGTCGAGGACTCATGCCCTCGCTCTACAAAATCTGGAAAAAATGAATTTTTACCGAAGAAAAATGAAAACACCACTAATCGGTCGCGATAGTCTGATCATAAAACAACAACCTTATCCCGGTTTGAACCCTTTAATTTCTGTGAAAACTCAATCAATAATTAATACTGATTTGGTGCTTAAAACAATTATCATTTTTGGACTCTTTTTTTTGCAAGGAAAAATGATTCAAAAGTATGACTAGTCTTCATGACTCAAAAATACTTTGCATGTGCGCGTATGACACTGAACTGTTTGACTTGTCATTTGCAGATTTTTTTCCCGTTTTTGAAGTCCGGGCTAGTCCGCAGTTTTACTCTTAGCCATTAATGACCATTACTTAGTAATTTATTTACCAGAAGCAGGTTTTTTGAATACTATTAAGTTTCTAGGCGACCATTTTACATTTCCGTGGTTTTCTTATTCATTCTTGTAACCTTTCCGAACTTTTCTTATAGTCCTTAAAAAGCATTCTGTAAAACTTAAAAAATCTAAAAGCCTTTTAAATTATTTTGATCTACCATTAGCTTGCATTAACTTGAATAAAAGGAGGGCTTTTAAATTATCAAAATTTGGACAATTTTAGTTCATAAATCTACAATGATTGCGTATCAGGGTAATTCCAAGTGTTGGAATTACCCTTTGATAAATCTACAATATAGTTATCTGAATGAGAAATATCTGAAATAATTTTTTTTTCACTTTTTGAAGTCACCCATTCTCAATTGAAAAATTGATTAATAATGTTTGCGTCTGGTAATTTTTTTTTGAACATCGAGAGTGGTTCAAAAGAAATTGGAGCAGATTCTGAACTGGAATGATTTGGTGCTTACTCTATGCGTGCATAGAAAATGGAAGCTGAGCGCTTATTAGTTATCTCAAATCGTAACCTATAAAAACCCATAGTATTACAAAAAAAAGCATCAATACTCTATCACGAAACTCCTTTACAAATCCGCAATCTCTTGATTGCCTTTACAAATCCGCAATCTCTTGAAAACTGGTCTGAAAATACCTTCGCTTAAATTTTTGCGTTTTGTCTAAATTTTTTGAACACACTAATTTAAAACGTTGGAGCTGATCTGAATTAAAACAAATCCCGGCAATATAATTTATTAATTCTTTTTTTTTCCTCAAATGGAGATCCATTGCAAATACTTTTGCCGGTGCTATACCAAGCTTAGCATGTTTTGAACCAAATTGAGCATTGAAATTATCAGTATCATGTATAAAATTATAGTAAACCGTTGAAAAAAGTTTTGAAAATGTTAATTAATATGTTTTGATGAACTTTACATATATTATAAATCTTGAGCCTGTTGTTACGACTACTATTGGTACAAAAATCCTCGTATGGGTAACTGCTTCATTAGGTTAACTGCTTTATTGTTAACTGCTTCTCTGTAGGGTAACTGCTTCATTGTTTCAACCGCAATTTAAGATAAATTGATTGTTTTTGTTACTTTTGTCTAATGAAAAAAAAACAAGGACAGAAATGAGTTTCTTCCTCAAAACCTTCCCAACGCTGTATTTAAATTACAAAATGCTGTCTTTTGAGTGAAGCGACGTCCTAATCAGTGTAAATATGTTGCCTCAAATAGATTTGTAAAATTTGCCGTACTGGATTAAATCGCCGCTTAGGCATTAAGAGCACAAAAAAAATAATCACTGCTACTGTATCTTTCAAACTTGAGCTCAAGAAGCCAATAGGTTTCAGATGGTACAAAAATTAAAAAATTATAAATTAAAATCAAAAAGTGGCACAAAAATTTGTACTTTATCTTAACACGTTATTTTGGCCCATTATCTTGACTTTAAAATTATTGAAAAACAAGTTTCACTCATTGGCAAGAATAAAGGATAAAACTAATGGTCTTTGCAGAATAAATCAAAACTGGCCAAAATGAATTATTTGATGCCTATAAATTAACACTAATAGATTGCAATTAGATATCCCCTTAGGTTCCCCTTTGTACTATTTTGAGATATCCATTTTTGGGAACGGACCCTAACATTTTTTAAAGGCGAATTTTGAGGGGTGAGCGCGCGCTGAAAAAACGCAATTTTTTGGTTAAAATTTTCCAAAAACTGCCTAAGAACTTTTTTCAAAAACTTGCCTGCGGCGCAAAAAAATGGGCCAAAACAGGGTCTATGTAGTGCTTTGAGAGAGCTCAGAACATCAATTTGGTTGACCTAAAAAAAGTCGGCAAAGTTTTTGAAATTTTTTTGAAAATCCGCCCCCCTCCATAAAATCCTAGATCCGCTCCTGATCTGAAGTACAACCAACCAATCTCTTATTGAATGCTATTTTTTCGAACACTTTAATGATTTTCAGCATAAAAATTGTTCCCGCGTCTGTCTGCTGCACAGTTACGCAAACTGGTATATTTTTTTAATAGAAAATAAAATTATAAATACTTCGTTCCCTTTTTAATGACCAAAAACTACCTGGATCAACCGTACAATTCCCCTCCCCTAAGTGATTTACCCTAAAATGCCTCCCCAGGCATGCATTAATTAAAAAAGTTATTCTATATAAAACATGCGTTTCTTGCAAACGCTCAAAACTTAACTATTGTCAAACAAATATGTATTTTTTCAGTCCACGAAATCAGTTGAATGTAGGTTTTATATGTGTTCCGATACTTTAATCTTGCTTGTAACATAATAATTTCCTCCTCAAAGTTAAATATGTAAAACTCGAGTTTGCCCGCCTTGAATCGATTTGGAGGGGAGATATTGTACAGTTGATCCAACTAATTCCTTGGTCAATTCAAGTGGCCATGAAAAATTTCACTACTAAAACTTGTCATTCCAATACAAGTACAAAACTGCTCGTATCAAGGCGAAACACTGAATATTCTGACTGCCTTTTAAGATTAATGGAGCACTAATAACATTTAAAAAAAATTTAAGGTAATAAAAAAATGAAAAGAAGAAAAAAAAATAAAATTTGAAAATTTTTATGAAAATCATCTCCCCACGCGCCACATAAGTTTCAAAAGAATATATTTTGCTCCTTGTACCAAATTAATCATGGCAAATAAGATTCTTTCAACCAATTTGGAACGATTTTTAAGATGGATTAAATCTCTGCTTACGCGTTAATATCTTGAATTATATCGCGCGTTAATTGTCCGAAATTGGTCAAATTGGCCAAATTGGCCAATCTTTAAGCCCCCATAATTTTATGAGAAATGATCACAGGCGAAATATCTTTTCAGATTTAAACTCAAGACAACAATACCTTTTGAATGAGATTTTAAAAAATACGTCAAAAATGGCAATTTAAAAAGTCGAAATTTGTCTGAAAAAAAAAAACCCACCCCGAGCACAAATATTCCGGTACTTTCGTTTCGAATGTTGGAGCAATAA